AAGAATAAAATTAGTTGTAGAAAAACGAAATGTATAAAAGAGAAGAGAAAATTTAATAAAGTACTTATCTTCCATGCATTTGAAATTATAGTAAAGGCAAAGATCAAGTGTTAGTAAATTCGTCTTTGAAAAATAAACAAAACCCTTAGAGAATAAATTAATACTCGCCAAATTGTATACATGCCTCTATTCAAGCCTTGAAATTGACGTAGCGTGAGAATTCTGGTCTTCTAGTGACAGACTCACTGTTTTCACCTCTAACAATACATAAAAATCATATGTAGGTATCATATAGATTTTTTTTTGCACTATATTTATTAAGAAGTATACACAATTGTTCTAATATATATTTTCATTTCTTTATATTTAGTTTTTTATTTTTTTTAAAAAAAAAAAAATACAGATGATACTATAATAAATACAATGGAATTGTTCTTTAGAAAAATAAATAAGAAAAGATGATAATATAATAATATAAATAAGTATATATAGATAATCAACAATTTAATATCTTTTTTGATTATTTTTTTATCAATTAAAAACAGATAAATAATTAGATGAATTAATTTAGTAAATATTTTTATATAGATAAATAATTAAAATAATAAATATAAAATATATACTTATCTATTTTTTTTTAGTATTATTAACTGAGGAAGTTGTTTGTTTAGATAAATTTGAATTTTGGTTTAAAAATTTATTTAATAAATCAGTAACTTTAGAATAGATAGAATGAAAATTAGTTCTAGAGTATGGTTTTGTAGTAGAAATAGTTTTTTTATAATAAATACTTCCTTTAACTCTAGATACAATAGTTTGAGCAATATTGGTTAATTTATTTTCATCATCTTTATCTGTAGTTTCCTAGGTAAGATGAATTGAATCTCTAGCAGATAAAATTAAAATTTGATATTTAGGAAAAGAAATATTTTGAATGTGGACTATGTTAGTATTGTTGATTACTATAAGCTCTTCATTAATGTAAATTATTGAATGTTTTTTTATAGAAATAATTACATTCATCAAATGTTAAGCATATACAGAATAATAACACACTATTTCAATATTAATATAATCTTGATCAATAAAATTTCTAGATGAAACTTTTATGGTTATGTCTTCTTGATCAATTATTGGTTCTTCTTGAGCTACTGCTATTATATTGAGTAATATCAGAAAAGCATGTATGTTATTAGAATCAATATTATTAAAACAAACAATATTGTTAAGACAATCTATATAATACAATATAATCAGGGTTGGCATGGACCGGTCAATGGTCAAGCTTGACCAGACCGGTTTGACCAATTTGACCAGTTGGTCAAAGGGTT